GGTGGTGGTGGTGGCGGTGGCGGTGGTCGTGGCGGTGGTGGTGGTGCTGGTGGTGGCAGTTTGGTGGTGGTGGTGGTGGTTGTGGGCGGTAGGCCGGAGTAGAAAGAGCAGTTGACATTGTCATAGTAGTAATTCTATGCAAAAGTTTTAAAAAATTGGGCTTTTGACTCGTTCATAAACATGGAGAGCTGCAAACCATTCTGCTAGCTAGAGAGAAGTACTGCACTGATGATGCTTCTTCTCCTTCCTCCTGATTGTGAAGAAAAGATTACATCATCACAGTGATTACGCTCATGATACCACCGGGTTGTGTTCTTTGCTGCTAACCTTCTCTCTGATACAAATGGTGCAGACTCTGGCGATGGAGTATGATGCAAGAAAGGCGTCGCAACGCAAAGCGTGGGCGATAGAAAGAGCGGCAAAGAGAAAGCGTGAAGAGAACATTTATGGGGTAGTGACCATGAGGGAGCAGCGGGAAATGGAGAAGGAAATTGCTGAAGCAGGTGTTGTCCCTCCGAATCCGGCCAAGGTACACTCGACAACATCTTTGTCGTAAATCATTCTTCAGTCCTCCCAGTTTGTCTTCCAGTCTGATTTGTTGCTCAGTATTTTCGACTACCCAGAAGGGTAATTTGGAGTTTCCGTGTGTCTGGCATATGGTCTCTGAGGATCGATAGAGACGCTTCGTCTAGTGAGCCTGCTGATTGTTTGTGGGCTTGGGAACCATAGTTTCATAGACAGCTCAGCAAAAGTGTATGCGCCACATTGGCCACAATGTGGTGAAGCCTTGTTCATTCTTGCAACTGTTGTGTGTGCATCTCGAGTTTCCACTCTCGTGTCCAATTTGAATATATTATCTTCATCAAGAAATACATTCCATCAAGAAATCCGCTGCATGGATCACATCGCATCAGAAGTACATCCATCGAGAACTTTGTCCCATTCAGCAATCCATTCTTTATGACGACGCCTCTGAGTGCTAGAGGCCGACCTCCCAGTATAGGAGTGAGCAAAGGAAGAATGAGAGGAACTAACCAAGCAATTGCAATGAGAATGAAAGGGCCCACCAACATGGAGACTTGAGTGAATTCCGCAGAGCCAGGAAACAGCAGCCATTGGAAACAAACACGTGCAGGACAGAAGACACTTTAAAGATGAAAACCTCAAAACCAACACATATTCCTTGGGGGGTGTTAGATATCTAGATGCCAACGATAGTTGATAGTCAATCCCTCTCAGCAGAGAGCCAGTCAATCCCTCGCAGCAGAGAGCCAGTCAATCGCTCACAGCAGAGAGCCGGTGAGGACAAATCAGACTGCTACTCGCCAGAATAGAACTGAGCTGCGGCCAGATCATGTTCCTTCCTTCCTTTTCGAAAGAAAAACACATAACACGATAAGATGGGCATGAAAGCCTGAGAGCCAGTTTTGGAACTACCGTCTTCACCCGAATAGAACGCCCGGTCATTGTAGCTGTATTTGGCACAACTTTCGGTCCAGATGCAGCGATAATGACCGGGCATTCTATTTGGGTGAAGACGGTAGGATTGTCACACTGTGGTCCACTGTCATTCCCCCCTTTGGGGATGTCCAGGCCTTAATGCATCCCAGCAGAAGTACCAGCAAATCTCTGGGGGGCTGAAGCAGCTGCCAAGGCATCAGGGTAGCGGGCACTGCTTCGCAAACAACTGCCCAGGTTGATGACATGTTGAGCTTCTGTTCTGTTTTGTTTTCCCCTTGAGGTAGGCAAAGGGTGTTCCTTTTCTATGCTGTGAGCAGGAGGGTTGATGGGGGATGGGGAGTGACTGTTAAAATATCCTGTGCTGGTGACTGTGGCTTGGTTTTCCTTCATCTCAGGTAGAAACACAGCTGTTGTCAGAAACAGCGCACAATCCATACCATAAAGCACTACTACTGACGGAAATCGCAAAGTTGAGGTCATCAAGATTTGATTGCGATCGACTTCTTCAGGCAGCAATCCAGGAGCTCAGGAGAGCTTCTGCCCTTGAAGAATCTCTGCTACATGCGCAAGCCGCAGATGTGACAGGAACAGGACCAGACGGTAGCAGCCAGGTAGTTCCACCGGCTCCAAGGGTGCTGGCACGGACCGCCAGGATGGTCTACCTGAAATCTCGCGCACTTCAACTGCAGAAGACAGGTGCAATACCAAAGACATATGCAGTATACGCAAAGCTGACAGGAAGCGGCGTAGGTCCCTCTCACCACAACATAGAAATTCAGGGAACAGGAATAAAGAACCTGATTGGACAGGCGGTGAGAGTATCTGGGCTTTCAAACAATGAGAGCTATCTATTCTCAGTGGCAGTGTTTGATGAAAAAGGAGAGAGAATTGGAGTCGTTGGACAAAGCACGATGTCAATCCCTATTCTTTTGCCCTTACCATTACTGCTCTGCTGGTCTTACGTGGCACTAACAGCACACCGGCTGGGACGCCTCGCAACTGCTGACGCTGCTGCAGGACCTTTGCTCGACTACTTCATCCGTGCTACACCCCAACATCCTTTGTGGGTAGAGAGTCCCCTGGACTCTGAACGCCTCATCATGGATAGTGTCAGTACTGCACCACTCCCTCTTCTAAGATCACTAGCTCAGGTC